AGCTAAAATTTAACCTACTTAGTAAAACTAATTTATACCCGATCCTAATCTACTATTATGACTAAAATCAAACCAACTCTAAAAAAAAGAAAAGTAAGTCCAGTAAGTGGTAAAACTAAGAAAGATAAAGAACAGTTTAAAAAGTATCTAGAACGAATTGAAGATCCTAATTATCAAGGTGGTTCTTGGGCTTTGCCTGAGAATCCCTCTCTTTTAGAAAAGACTAAGTATGAACTATGTCAAAAAGTTTTAACTTATCACTTAGATCAAAAATTAACGACTGAGGAAACTGCTCAAAAAATGCAATTAAGTAAAGCCGAAACCGAAGATATTTTGCATTGTCGTTTAGATTATTTTACTTTAGATAGATTAACTACTCATGCTGGTTATTTATTCGCTCCTGCCCAAACTAAAATCACGGTCGAATTAAAACCTACTCACAAAAGAACTAGGAAATCAACTTTTATTCATGCCTAAACTGACCAAGTCAAAAGAGCAAAGATGAGAGTATGATTATCAACTAACTTTTAATGGTTATCAGATAACTAAATTCACCATTACTGACTACTTTAAAAAGCATGTCAAGCATGGTATCAATCGAAACCTAATTGTCGAACTGATAAAAATGCTGGATAATCAAAAAATAAAACCCCTGGATGACTATCCTGGAACTAGAAAAGTTTTTCGTTGAGAACGAATTCCTTACAATGGAAAAAAATATCGTTTGATTTTTTGGTTTAAAGATAACACTACTAACCATTTATGGATTAGAAATTGTTATCCTCAGGATTAGTTATTCTATTTTACCCTACCCTAATATTTAACAATAACCCCTTTACCTTATACACTTTTTAAAGAAAAATATGAAATTTATAGAAATTTATGGGAAAATACAGTAAAAAACGAGAAGGAACCAGCAATAGGCAATTTACTAATGTGGAAAAGTTGAAAAACAATTTCTTTGCTAATTCCGAAAGAAGAAGAAAATCCAATGACAAAGCCCATGGTGATGCCGCTTACTGAATTAATGGAATGTGCAATTGAGGCGGAGAACATTATTTGCAAAAAGATTGCGAAGCCCTAGCTGACTTTTTTAATGCTACTGCTAATATATCTGATGATGTAGAACAAATTAAATTGTCTGCCAACGAACAAACATTCAACCAGAAGAAACAAGCTTTAGTTAGCAAAATCCAAGGACTTGTTGGTAAATGTCAAACTTCTAGCACTTCTTCTATCGCTTATGTTTGTTGTATTTGAAATGATTATTTTGGTAGTTTTTTAAAACCTTATTTAAATACCTTTTCAACCAAACTGCAGAGGCAACTAAAAGAAGTAGAAAATTTAACGCCCAAACACCAGCAAGACTTACTGAAATTGGAAATAGAAGCAAAACAAGCAGAAAGTGAATATAAAGAAAACAAAGCCAAGGCTGACCAAGAAACTGACCCTGATAAAAAGGCTCAGTTTATGATTCTAGCTAATAAAGCAGCGAAAAAGGCAGAAGATATTAAAAGAAGAATTAAAGCCAATCCTCTCGCTGATTTAAGCCGTTTTAGCAATCTAGATGATTTAACCATTTTGTTAGGAGGCAATGTTCCCCAAAACCCTCCTAGTTCTAATAGACCAAGTGGAAGTAGCAGCAATTCTTCGTCAAACTCCTCCAATCCTTTTAGCCAGACTTCAACTAATCCTGAGAGCAATAAACAACAACTGTTAATCTTTGCGGGCATTGCTGTTCTAGTAATCTTCTATCTTCTAAACCAAAAAGACTATGACTAATTCCCAAGACCTAAAAAATAAACTCGGTGAAACCACCGAGCAAATCGAAGCAACCATTTCTCCTCTTTACACTAATTTAGAACCTTGACAAAGAGGTCTAATTTTAATGGCTCTAACACTTTTCTTAGTTCTCGCTATCTACTATCTCACTAAGTCAGAAAAAACCACTAAGTTAGATACTAAAAAAGAAAAAGAAATTGAGGAAAGGTTGATGCGACAAATGGCTTTTTTTAAGAGATTGAAAGAATAAACATGTATAACACTGACCATTACTTTGATTTTGACTCTCCTCCCAAATCAGTCGCTAAATCTAAAAAAAAGAAACAGCAACAACAGCAAATGTTCCTTTTACTCTTATTAGCAGTTGGTGCCGCTTATTACTTTATGATTTATTTACCAGAAGAAGAAAAGAAAAAGAAATTGGAACAACAGCAAGCAAATACTAATAATAAGTCTGCAGAAGAATTAAAAGTCGAACAAGAAGAAGATGCTTGAGATAAAGGGAGGATTTGAGAATTGGATGCTCACAGTTGAGCTGATAGAATAGTAAAAGCAAAAACAAGTGCCTTAATTGGACAATATCAAAAGTTGGCTAGTTTATTTGCCGATGGAGATAGAAACCCAAAATTTTATTTTTCTCGAGCTGCCACTTATAAAATCTACTTCCCTCCTAGTTTAAGGGAATATTATGAAAAAGGTCAAGAATCAAAAGATGACAGTTTTAGAAGCAAATTATCTATGTTGGAAGAGGAAGAAAAACTAATTTTATCCGATGAAATTAGTCAATGAATAACAGAAGCAGAAAGAAACCCAACTAGAGGAACAATAGATAAAGATAGCAGAGGTAATAATGCCTTGTTTTACGGAACAGAAGGAACCGGCAAAACTGCTACTATGAAAAATCTTTGTGTCAGATCCAATAAATATCCCTTGGTAGAAATTAAAGGTTCTAACTTAACTCCAACTGAATTAGACCAATCATCCGAGATACTCCCCTTACAGAAATTTGCTTATACCATTAGTGAGTTAGAATGAAATCTAGTTAGAGAATGTGGTTTTGAAAGAGAAGACAATGGCGAGGTTCGCTATATTTTGTTTGTAGATGAAGCCAATCAGATAAGCAATAATTCAGCCTTTTTTCAACCAAATCAATTAAGATTTTTAAAAGATTGTATGGAAGGGGTAGATAAAAATGATAGAAGCGATAATTTATGAGTATTTGCCACTAATCACAAAGACCAAGTAGAAAGAGCTACTTATAGAAAAGGTCGATTAAGTAATCCTTTGGATTTTAGTTGAACTTGGAATGAATTCACTAAGCATGCCCAAGAAGTAGGTATCTACGAGCAATTTCCAGAAAGATGAAAAGAAGTAAAAGGGTTATGAAATCCCGAGGATGATAAATGGATAAATGAATTTAATATCGATACCTTTAAAAAAGACTTTTTGGGAGATGACCCTAGTCAACCTACCAAGCCTAGATTCTGAGACTCGTTTATTGAGAATAACCCTAATGCTCAAATAGAAATGGAAGAAGACGAAAAAGATGAAGATGGCAACCCAACCGGTGGTAAAGTGAAAATAGATATTGAAATAGGTGAGTTTTTAGAATTCTTTTGAGCTGTAAAAAGAAGAAACATTATGTCTTATGATGGTAGTTTTGAAAGCATTAAAAAAGAAACAGTAGAAAAGGTATTAGATACTCGTTTAAGTGATGTGATTGAAGTAATTAATGATAAACTAAATGAATTAATAGATGAAGTAAACAAGTCTAGAATAGAGGGCAAGGAACAAATAATGGATGGCATTGACAACATAATCAAAAATTTAGCCAACAGATAAAAAAACATGAACCAACTACAAATAACAAATTTAGAAACAAAAATAAGCAAAATACAAAACATTATAAATAATTGAAAACAAGAACTTATGAATTACGAAAATACATTAACAAAAATTAAAAAAGAAGTTGCTGAACTAAAAGGCAACTCTAAAAATATCAAATAATTATGGGATTCTGAAAAGGACTTTGTACTTGTATTGGTTGCGTAGCCGCAGTAGGCATTTGTGTTGCCAGTGCTGGAGCAGCCACTCCTTTTGTAGCCGCTAGTGCCGCCCCTTGATTAATCGGTGGAGGTGCGACTGCTGGCTACTTAGTGGGTAATGCTGTCGATAAAGAAGAAATGGAACGAGAGAAAATACTTTTGCAAAACCAACAATATAAGGATGCTAAAAATGAGTTAGATACACAAATAAATACTAATAATCAAACTCAGAACCAAATAAACGACATTGTAGGAAAAATAAATGGCACTATCCCAAGACAACCTAATGAAACTGATGAATACTTAAATACTCAGTTAGGTATACTAACAAATAATCTCAGAAAGGGTGAAAGTAGATTAGATGGATTAAGAGGAGAATTAGATAAATTAAGAAAAAGTCTAGGAGGCAACAGCAATTTAATGAGTTTACTAGGATTAGATAAATTATCCTTTACTGATAAGGTAATGATTGTTGCTGCAATAGTGTTATTGATTTGGTTGTTAAAAGGTTAGACAAATGAACAATTGTGATTGTTTGACTTGTTCTTGAAAGATAGAAATAATAAAACTAAGTAGCAACTGGAGCTTTTTTTGTAAAACTATAATATAGATAAAAAAGTATTTATTCTTATTGAACATGGACAAAAATAAGGCAAAAAATATTGTTAATAAAATTCTTAGTTATAATTCACCTAAAATTAAGGAACAATTAGAACAAATAAAAAAAATAACTAATCCGGAAATACGAAAAAGAGATGCTAAACTAGCATACAGTTTTCATTGAGAAAATTTAAAACAAGTTATCAATTATTATAATAGTTATGAATTATGAAAAGAAGGGGTTAATTTAAGTGAGTATGATAACAAAATAAGAGAGTTAGGAAATTTGCGAGGTGAAGAGAACCAAACCAATCAAAGGCAAACCCAAAAACGCCTTTCCCATTGCTCTCAGTGTAATAACAAAAGTAAACTTTATCATTTTATTTGAAATAAAAGAACTAAAAAGTTAGAAAAAAGTTATAATAATGCTACTGACTTAAATAATGAATGAGTTTTTTGTAATCAGAACTGTTTTAATGATTGATATAAAAAATGATGATCTTATTTTAAGGATGAACTAAAAACCTTTACATGTAAAAGTTGTAAGGAGAAATTTCAAGTTGAGCGAGAATATAAAAAAGGTAGAGAAATCACTAAAAATTATGATTGCTGTTCTCAAAACTGCCTAAACTCTTGAAATCAAAACAACCTAAAAGAGCAAACTAATGGCAATTCAGAAATAATCTGCCACCAATGCAATAAATTCTTCTCAGGGCAGTATTGACACAAAAATAACCCTCGAGAAAGCCTAATTCATAAATTCTGTTCCGAAAACTGCTGTAATACTTACTGAACTAAAAAACAGTGTTCTGGTGCTGACTGTTCTAACTTACTGACTAGTGATGAAATCTGTTATTGTTCTCCTTGTTCTGCTCAGCAAGAACAGCTTTGAAAGAATTTAGAAAAGAATCAGCAAGATATCAATCAGAACTTAGCTAATTTTAATTTTAACCAAGGACTTAATGATTATGTGGAAAATCAAAAGGATAATGCTGGTAATAATAATATAAATAATAAATCCTATAAGAGAGAGAGAGAGAGAGAGAGAGAGAGAGAGAGCAAAACCTTATTGAACAGCAACAATTACAGTCTGAAATCATGCAATTAGAACAAAATGCTACTAATCCGGAAAACCAATCAGAATTAGAGTCTAAAAAAAAGCAATTAAAAGATTTAGAGGATAAACAAAAAAAAATAGATCAGCAATTAACTTTAACTATTCAAATTACTATTTTGCAAAGAGAAATAAACCAGTTAACTAATAAACCTACTCGAACAGCAACAGAAGAAGCACTTTTAACTAGTAAAAAGAAAGAATTGGAGGAGTTATTGAGAAAACGGGGTAATTCTAATACTACTAATAATTCAGATAAAGGAGATAAAACTGCTCTAATTATTGGCTGTGGAGTATTTTGCTTATTTACTTTACTTTTAATCTTTATTCTTGCGAGGAATCGTAAGAAAAATAAGAAATAATATGGCAGACTGGAAAAATATACACAAGAATTTTACGGAAGAATTACAAAAAGAATGAGAAAACAAAGGGTTTAGTTATGAACAATGCAAAGAATGAATAGATGTTGGACTAGAAACTACTGATGCTGATTATGCTAAATGATTAAGAGACATCAAAAAAGTTAGCACTGAGTGGTTATTAAATCATGGCAATAATGAAAAATTAAGAAAAGAACATAAAGAACATTCCAAAAAAAAGGACACAGTTCAATCAGAAAGAAAGGCTAACTGAAAAGAAAATAACTATCCCTTTAAAAAATTTACCGAAGAACTAACTCAAGAATGAATAAATGCTGGTTTCAACAAAGCAGAAACTAGAGAATGATTAGAAAGTGATTTACAGCCTGCTGATGCTAGTTTTGCTTGATGATTAAGAAATATTAAGAAAGTAGAGGTTGAATGATTTTCTGAATATGGAGATGAGGAAGATTTAAGAAAAGAATGTAAGAAGTATTTAAAAAAGAATGATTATGATAGTGGGGAGGATTTAAACGATAGTGATATTGAGCAATCAAGAGAAGAATATAGCGGCGATGAGGAAAGAGAAGCCAATTTGTCAGAGGTATCGTATAATGATCATCTTTTAGATGAAAGACAAGAAAATAGAGAAGATTTTAATCACTCTCTCACTCCCGAATTGCAACAAGAGTGGAAATACCATGGGTTTAACTACGATGAGGTTAAAATACTTCTTCCTATGGGTCTAACCGCTAATAAAGCTGGATTTATCCGTTGACTGACAATAGAGAAAAATTATGAAAAATCTTCTCTAGAAAGACTAGCGGCCAATGATATTAGAACACAAGAAGAAGAAAAATTATGAAAAGAATACAGAGAGGAATTTGTCAATTGAGGAGGCATTCATCCATCTTTCAGCCCAGAAATGGAAAAAGAATGAGGTGAGATTTCTCTTGGTTACCATAGAAGTAAGGGCATAGAAAGGTTAGAAGATTATTGCTTTGCTCGTTGATTATATAAGAAAAAGACTCCAAAAGACATCAAGGAAAACATTATGAAACTAAAAAAAGAGTGTTTGATAAGGAGTTCAACAAAGAATCTTGAAGAGATATTCATGCAGAGTTTGATGAATCAACCAGAAAAAAATGAGAAAATAAGGGATTTACTTATGAACAAGCTAAAAAGTGAATTAATACTAAAAAACTTGGTCCCGAAGATTCAGAGTTTGCAGATTATCTAAGAAAAGAGAATTATACCCCACTTCTTTCACCTAATGATTTAGAAAAGTTAAAAAAAGATTTCTATAATGCTCAGAATTATTTGGATAGAACTTATCCTTTAAAGGGGAGGAGTAAAATTAAAGAAATGAGTATCAATGGGAGATTAACGGATTCCTTAGTTATTAGGAATTGGACTAGTCTAGAAAAGTTAAACTGCTCTTGAAATAGACTTAACGGACTAGAAATTGATAATTGCCAAAAACTTATTGAAATTAATTGTTCTGATAATCAACTTACTAACTTAGTAATCAGTAACTGTCCGCTGGTTTCTAGACTTAATGCCGAAAAAAATAACCTTACTGACCTTAGTTTTCTCGACAATCTTAATCCAAAAGAAGTTACCTTTTTAGATATTTCTCATAATAGCTTGGCTCCACAAGACTTAAGTTGTTTCAGCATATTTTCCAATCTAAAATTTCTCTATATAAACAATAACCCTTTTTTTGGATCTTTAAGATATTTACAGAATTTAAAAGAATTGGGATCCTCTCCTGGCATATCATCATCACTCAGGATAGATGACACAAACTTAGATTCTGACTTGGAATACCTACCTCCAGAAATAAAAAGGTTTGGTCCGATGAAAGGAGGAAAACTTAACTGTCCGCAAATTGATAAAGAATTAAAGAATCATCTTCACTCCAATCCTGTTAGTTTTGATGCCCACGGTCACACTACTGACTTTTATTACTATAGTCTGCAAAATTGAAGGAAAGACAATAAAGAAAAAATCAAATTATTTCTTGGAGCAGACAAACTATTAGTGATTAAAAACAGCATCCAAGAATTTTTTAACAAGTGAGATGATTTTACCCCTTCTTGGCAAGAGATTTCCGAAATTAAAAATCGACTATTTTTTTTTAGGTACCTTAAAGAGGCAAGTTTTTGGACTATGGCAGTAGGAACTGGTTTATCTATTAGATATACTGAAGTAGGAACACCTATTGCTTTGTTCGGTATCTTTGGTGAACGTTTTAGTAGTCGCATGAAAAAATCCCTCTGTAGTCGTGAAAAAAAGTTGCAAGAAGAATTATCTGGAAAGCATATTGATGAATTTATTAAGGTTATAAAAGATCTAGAAGATAATTACAATCAATTAATAGGAATCCATTCAGACTTATCTTTAGGTATAATCAGTGAAAATCCTACTGATTCCAAGAGAATAAATTGTTCCTATCTAGCTTTTCGGGGAGCAATGATTGAATTGCGAGAAAAGACTAAACTATATAGCAAAGATGAAGAAAGAGCAGAACAGGCCGCAAAAGAAGAAAGAGCAATTGAATTTTTCCAAAAACTACAGAGTAATTGAAAAAAAAATGAGATAGGAAAATTAATAGAAAAATTAAAAAAAGAAATAGATGATTATCGCCAAAATACTCACAGAAATGAAGTAGAAAGTGAAACAGTAAGTGTTAGAGATTACAGTAGCACTTCTTCTCTTTTAGGTAACCAAGAAACTGATGAACAAGAAATCGAGAATACAGAATTAGAAAATTTACAAATTAAAGAGAAAACACAAATTGATCAGATTCAATTTATTCCCCCACAAACAGAATTCACTTTTACTACTCCTATAAAAAGCAACTCTGAGGAGTTACAAGCCCAAGTCCAAATTTCTAAAAAAAATAATTAAAAGTGCCTTATCCACTTACTTCTTTTTAAAATTAATAATATAGTCTTTAACCTTATGAATACTAATAATATCTTGTATTTAATGGTCATAACTCTACCGGTTTTAATTCTCCGCAAAAATTATTGAATGACCTGGCTCAAATCAAACAAGTA